CCCCCCCCCCCCCCGAGCCCTGCCAGCAGGACTGGAGGCTGCTCTCTTCCTTGCGACCCCTTCTGCTGCCACATCCCCTCACAGCCTCTCCGCCATAGCCCTGCCCTCGCCACCTCAGTCCCTCCGCCTCGCCTGGCCCCGCTCTCCTTCTCCGGACCTGCACATCTTTTCTCCACATGTAAGCCAAGTGCTAACCTCCCAAAATTTTGAAGAATCTCAGATCTGCCAGAAGAAGATCCAGAAAGAGATCCTAACTTTTGCTCAGGCATCTCGTACCTTTAACTGGCCTTTATTTATGTGGGAATTGCTTCTGCAAGCAAAGGAGATGCACGGTCAGCTCAGAAAGAGCAGGGTTTGCAGAGGGGTCGTCCCTGTTCTCTCTGAGCACCTCAGAGCCACTTAGATTGCTTGTTCACTTTTACATCTAATAGGGAGAGAAACCTCAGTCAAGTTGCCTTAATGTTTATTTTATTTAAAGAATCAGAAACACAGTCATTGTAGTTCATTTGTACTCATATCTGCCAACATTTCCTAAATCACGTTAACATTCATGTATAACAAAAACATTTTCTGAGCTGTGCAAAGTTCAAAGGAATTGTTCAATTACTTCAACCCATTTCTAGAAGAGCAAACCTGGCATTTTACAAACTGAGGCCACCAGAAGGAGTCTTTTCTTCTCCCCCCCCCCCCCCGGTCGCGTTTTCGTATCACTGAGCTGTATGAAGTTCTGCACTTGTGCTCCTGGCATGGAAGTGATTTGTCCAAGAAGATTACTCACTAACCCAAACTGTGATGATAAGCAATAAACAGGGGCCAGAAACAGCTGCTATCAAAATAGAAACACCACACCCACCCCCCCCCCCCCCCGGATATTTTTCCTTGCAGGAGGTATGACTGGAAGGGCTGTCGTTCATTAAAAAAACCCACCATCCTCCGTGCAAAATATATTTTAAAGCACTGATTTCATGACATGACATCTGCGTGTTTTCCCTGATCTTCTCACACACCAACTTCTGTCCTGCTGGAGTTAAGCATGAAAAGGTGGAAATCTGGTACCATTTTAGATCTGGCTAAACGCAACAGGCAGCGAGCAAGCCGTCACCCTGTTTCGTTTTTCTGAGTGTAGTAAATACACCCACGGAGCAGAATTTTAAAAGAGCTTTAACCGCTCTAAGTTGTCAGAAAAAAATCTCCTCATCTCTGACAGATCCAGCCCAGAATTTTTGTTGGAATCAGTAACACGCATTGCGCTAACTGTGCAGCTTACTGCTCGAGGTGCAGCGATACCAGTTCTGATCTAGACCAAGCAAGTGGAACAGATATCGCTCTAGTCTCAAGCAAGTCTTTCCAGAAGACGTGTCTTCAGTCTCTTATGGGTTATGAAAAGGCAATTTCCTCTCAACAGTAACTCAGCTTTTAGTGGCTGACTCATTACAGTCTGGAATATGAACAAATGCGGCAACATTAAGTATAAAAGAAAAACCACCCTGAAAATGATGCCTCCCTGTCTGAAGGTGCTATCCTTGGCCATGGACTGTGTTTCTGGAATCGGTTTGTTACACTTGACAGCAAGGAGAAACTTATTTTACAGAGAACAAAGTCACAGAGCAGAACTTAAATAGGAACGCTCACTTACATGGGTTCTGATATGTACTAGTATACACGGCTTGAACGAAAACAAAACTTACACCTTCGCGTATGAAATACCGGTAACGCAGTAACGATGTTCACCCACTGGGCCTCTTCCTTTCAATAAGATCATCTCCAGGTTACAGTGCCTCCGACACGCTTTTAAACGACCACCACATGTGGGCTTTGGCAAGCAGCCAGCCGCTGGCGAAGGCGAGGTACAGATACAGCTGCGAACAGCCTTTCACCACCTCTCGTTCCTCAGGAGCCGGCGTCTTTTCAAACACGCTCACAATCGCATTATGGAATTCTTTTCTCATTCTGCTTCATATGAATAACTGGCTAAACTCGCTTTACATTTATTGCACCTTTAAGTCCCTGGTAGATGGAAGCTTATATTGCCTGATACGGTTTGTATTGTAGCTTGACCACATTAAGAAATCAAACAGTCTCCGGAACTGTACATTTCTACAGTAAGAAATCACATTTTGATAACGCTAATTACAGCCGTCGCAGATCAGCTCTCGTCTCCGTGATGCAACGACAGAGGAAAACTCCACGGTCCCTGCACGTTCTAGAACCTGCAGTGTTCTTCTTATTGCCATGAAAAAGTCAATTAAAATGACTCCTCCGGGAATTACTTCCAATTCTGGAGTAATTATCACTCCCCAGACAGAACACTGTGCTTCAGCGTGGGTCTTCAGCCACTCCAAACACGCTGGAGGGAGCGAGCGCGTGCGTGTGGCACAGGCACGCTCCCCCAGGCACATTTGTCAGCGACCGAGCGGCTTTTTCTTCTTTTCCTCTATGAAGCACAAACAAGCAGTCTGATCTCGATCTTCAGGTATGTTTCTAATTCCGTATGTTGAATGCAAATCTGGTTGCAGCCTCCCTGTTTAACCAAACCAAATCTTGAACGATTCAAAAAAATAGCACCAGATGTATGAAAAAGAGGAAATGTCTGATCCAGTAGGAATATATATAAAGTAGAGCAATTCTTACAGTAAAAAGGTACGTCATACAAAAAAGCGATGGAAAGTGATACTGAAGGACAAAAATCCATGCTGCATATAATAAGGGCAGAAGACAGGCGAAAGGGATTCTGCTCAAATAACCACAGTTTAATGGTGGAGCCGTCCTTCTTCCAGGACCTGCCCGGCAGCAGCGCCGGGACAGCGGGTGGTGCGGGGCTCTGAGCACTAACACGCTCACTGACTCGCGCAGCGTATCTCTGAGGTATATAGAAAGCATGACATTAACGTTTTGGACTCCTTGTTCTTTCTTGCACGACGATGCACGGATCTTTAGCTGGGGTTTTCTCCACCCTCCCCTCCCTCTTTTTCCCACATGAAAAACGAAATCCCAGTTTAAGAGCTTCCTAGCACAACTCCTTGAACTCTCAAATCCATCTTGCATAGGCCAGTAATAAGAACACTGCAGCTCTGACAAATAAGTTACAGCAATATAACAACTTTCCTCTTAATTTTTTTTTTTTTAAAGATATTTTCTCTATAATTTACACAAAGGGTTAACAGCCGGAGTTTCGGTTACGTACAGTCCAGATGGGCGTCCTTTCAGCCTGTGGTTCCCGGTGGAAGGCACTACTTCAACATACCACTGTATGCACCGCACGCGGTCTCGGGAGCGCAGCGGGGCACTGCGTCTCCGGAGCTGTAGACTGAAGGGCCTGGGGAGAGTCTTTGGAAAGAAAAATGGCAGTGGTTATCAGTCCAGTTTCCCTTTGCTGTCTCTTCTTGTGCTATGCAGTTTCCCCTGAAAGCCCCTCCAGGTGAGAGAGCGGCGAGCCGTCCTCAGAAGCTCTCCACAAAGCTCCCGGGAAAGAGGCCCGTCCTGCCGTTCCTCTGCAATGTCCCTTTGTACCAGCCGTCCTCCCGCTTCTTGTGCACAAACACGATGTCACCTTCCTTCAGTTCGATCTCGGCCTCGCTCTGCGGTGGGTACGGGACTACGACGCGGTACCTTTGGAGACAAAACCGCAAAGACCTTGTCAGAAAATCCACGCCGGCCCCAGCCCCCGCCTTCACGGATGCTCCCTTGGATGTGCAGGGCTGCGTAAGCAGACGGGCTGGGTGTCAGGAAGGGAGCCAGCCCCCAGAATCCCAGGGAGGGCACCTTAGAGCTTCCTCAGGGTGACACCTCTGAGCTGCCGTTGAATACTGAGGTCCTCTCCCTATTTCTGGCGCTGACCTGTAAAGCCAGACCTAGAGGCCAGCGCTGCCTCCAGGCTCCTTTCTCCCGGGACGCTAATGGCGCGCCACTGCCCGCAGCCGCCTGAAGCCCCGCATCACGTCAGGCTGCTCCGGGAAAGAAAAAGAGGGCAGGTTTCCTCCTCCCTTCCCGCACCCAGTGCTTGGGCAGGTTCCTCAGAGGCTCCTGCTACCTCACAGCCTGTCCAGGAAAAACTTCAGGACACGGGGAGCTTTTAATTTATTTAAAAAGCCAGCTGTGTGTTGAGTCACAAGCAATCATCTCGTCTCTCCCTCCCTGCCTTCCTGTGAACCAGAAATCTTGAGGAAAAATACCTTTGGAAACATCAATAAGTTACATTAAAAAATGGTTGTGTCTGATGCACGCACATTTTCTTCTAAAACTCAGTATGACGGGGAGATCTCTGGCCAGCTTGACCGGAGGCTTGACGGGGATGTACTCCAGAGCCAGACCATGAGAGCAGGAAGGTATTGCCAAACGCCGGGACTACTCGCGATGGTGCCTGCTCCGGGTCGCGTGCCGACTCTGTGCCAGGGGCTCTGCTGCTTCCCCCCAGCGCTGCCTCTGCCTCCGCTGTAACGTGTCGCATTCAGCACTGCATCTGCTCCATCCAAACATGGGGTTTGCAGTGCTCCCACTGACTGCCTGTGACACTGGCACAGGTTAGCTAAAGCAGTTCACGTTTTTCTTCTTATCATGTGTCTTGGGAACATGCTCTGGGTCCCTCAAACCTGGGGAAGGGAAGCTAAAACGGATGGGTATCGAATGACTTTGGAAACACTCTCCAAACCAAGAGCGAGCCCCTGTCCTGAACCATTTGCAGGGCTCTCCAGGAACTTAGTTTTCAAGTGTCACTTCGTTTTAATGAAGTACTGACGGGTTTGATCCTGATACGGCTGTTCTGCACTCAGGCTTATCAGCAGGCGCCCTCCTGAGAGCACGGACTGCGCCCTTTCATATCAGTGCACTTCTGTGCAGAACAGAGAATATATTTCTGCTGCACTGCTTTTTATCTTCAGCACATGTTTTTTCACAGTCATCTGGCATTTGGCGAGCAATCAATAACTGTCTTGCTAATTGCAAAGTAATGAATACAGTACGATAGTTAAAAGATGCCAATTGATTACCTAAAGCCCATCTCCCAAGGATTAATATTTCTACAGCCACTGCATGGCCACTGATGCTCAGTCATGTTTCTCACAAGGCGAGTATTAATCCAAAATCTAATCCTGTCCTTGAGGACTGACTTCACTGTGCTCTGGAGCCCTCCCTGAGGCGATTCCCAGTGAGATGGTACCAAAGCAAGGGGCTCTCCCGTGACAGTCACTGGTTTGCTTTGCAGACGTTGCTCAGGCACCTAGTGACTGTGGTTCTGAAACTAGGGACTCCACTTTGACGACAGTGAAAATACCAGCTCTGGTTCTGTGTTTGGACATCTCCACGGCCAAACATCCCGCTACTTGGAAAAGCATTAAACTCCATTTGGAATGGAGGTTCTGCTTTAAAATCTGACTACGTACGGCCTTTTTATCTTGACACAGCAGCACGGTTGTGTAGAAAATATATGTGTTCAAGTGCCACCAAAAATCTGCCGGTCATCTCTGTCCCTTGGTCAATAAATCGAGTTGTCACTTTCTTCCTCCGTGGAAAAGCAAATAACGGAAGTTGAAATGTGTGCTGCTGGCTGCAGGAAAATGGTCTATCACGCTATCATCTGTGGAACTGCTACACTTACATTATGAAGCTTTGCCAATTACAGCCATTATGCAAATGAATGCACACATTGTTTCAAACACTCTGCTGCAGTGTTGATTAATTAAATTATCAGAGTGGAACAATTGTAGCTAAGACGATGCCAACTTTCAGATCTCGCAACTCTGTGCACAATCACAGAGCACTGGAGCTCAGCACCAGGATCTGAAGAGGCTTTGGGAAAGCAGAAGGTCGGACCTCCGCAGCAGCCGGGTGGTGGCAGAGGTACTCGCGGGCCCCCTTGGCAGGTCGGGAAACAGAAACAAAGAAAAAAGGCGGTGTCTTGGGCAGGGTTGCCCCAAAGCCGCGGCTGGGACTGCCAACACCTCATGTCATACCTTAAGCACAGAGCCATGCTTTTAAAGCCAGACTATATCCTAGGAGTGAGGAGCTGCCAGTCCCTAAATGGTTCACACGAAGAGCGAGATGATCGTGCTCGACAGGAATGCGCCCATCGTCGCAAAAGGGGTGCTACACAGCATCTCCTCAGAAGTTTAGAAAAATAAATCTCTGTAGCTGGATTACAAAATGAAGCACTTTCTCCCATTTAAGGAAAGCCCGAATGTTACGGTTTAAATTTAATTAGCTTTGGTACTTCACAGGATAGCACAAAAGTGTTTTTGATAGAATAACAAAATCTTAGATACGAAAGACCTTGCAAATCGGTTAAGAAATCCTCTGTAAGAGATGGAAAAAGATGCTATGCTTGTTCCCTTGAGAGGCTTCTGAAGTGGTGCCTGGGAGAGGCAGAGCAGCGAGGGCTGGGCTGCCTGCCCGCAGGTCGCTGCCGTGCCACCCCTCCAGTCCTCCAGGCTGCATCTTGGCCCAGTTTATCCTCTGGAACTGCGTTGCAAATGCACACATCAGCCATATTTTTTTTGGCAGAAAAGAGCTCTTCTCCCAAACATCCTCCCCGTCTCCCAAAAAGGCAATCCTGTATACTTCTATTTATATCCCCTCTCTTCATTTCTCCTTTTGTCCCCTCTTTGAGAAGCTACTATAAAGCTGTAGGTTTTCTTACACCAAACTGCTTCCTGGCATTTCAGCTGGATCTTGGAGCCCTCTCAGTTTTGTCTGTGTCACATAACACCTCTAAACTACCAACTTTTAAAAATGCCAATTAGCTGGGCAACAATTGTGATGACAAGTGTGGCAACCACCTCTGCCTGTTAACAATGTTTGGTATTTTCTGTTGTAAATTGTCGTTTCAGATAGTTGTAATTCTGCCAAATGTTAACCATTTTGGCTCAAACTGTCCACAGCAGTTGACTGCATCAGGCTGAGGGTCCCACATTCAGCCCAAATAGTCTCATCACCTCCAGGAATAACATGAGGGGTTTTGCAGCATCAGCAGGACCCAGGTGAGAGCTTCCAAACTGCTCTCGCGTCCCCATACTTGGGAGCAAAGATCTGTCCTGTGGCCCTGCTGGTCTGTCAAGCATGGAGTTCCTTCAGAAAATCACCTGTGCTTGGCCAGGTTAAAAGCATTCAGACCATCCCCAAATGGCACATGCTTAGTAGAGGCTCGTACGAGCCTTGAAGGTAAAATCTCTGCTGATTCATGCGCCAAGATGTCCTAGCTCTGTGGGACCTCAGAGGCTGCATTTCTCTTCCTTTCCCAGCAACAGACTCCTCTCATATATTTCTCTCAGGGCACGGACTTGATGTTGGGCTTCCCCACTGCTGGCTGCTGTGGCATCCCTGGGTTGGGGCCTTCATCCCTGGAGGGGACTGTCTGGGATGGCCCTCAGTGCCCAAGAGAAAATACATGAGGAGAGGCTGTGAGTGGCATAAGCAAGGATGGGGGACGGGGTTTTTCTGGGCAGGAAAACCTCAGGGAGTTGGAGATCATGGTAAGGTGAGGGAGGGGGTGGAGGGAGAGGGAGGGTGATGGGAGGAAAACTGGGAGGCGAGGGAGAAACGGGACCATGATGAGAACTTGAAGCTGTGACAGAAGGTGTGAGTATGGCTGCTGAAGGGGGCAGCTGTGCTGAGTCTGGGAGAGCCAAGAGCCTTGGTGGGAGGGAGCCTGGGGCTGGGACACGACAGGAGACTGCATGGGTAGAGGCTGGCAGTGGGGCTGAGGGTGGGATGGGGACCCTGGCAGCAGTTAACTCACTGAGAGCTGTCAGCATAGACCTAGGAATCCCACTGTCCCATGTCTTCACAGCACTTCTCCTCGCAGTCAAAAGAAACACTGTTGTCACCCAGCTCTCACTTTGCGACGGCTACTGACATCTGCAAGGTACAGCTAAGGCTCCTAACCTCAAAATAGATGTTACATGATGGAAGTTCTGGGGTTTTGTTCCTTTAAAAAAGCAAACTGACTAAAAATGTCATGTATGTAGATGCATAAAGACATTCACTACCTTAACAGAACAGGAATGTTTCACACCCATGAATCTGAGATGAAGAAACAGGCAACTAAAATTGCCCATGACTTCACTTCTCCTTGTCTGCAATATAATCTTTCATTACATGACTGCATACTATTTTTCCCAAAGGATGTCTGCCTCATTCACTGCACAAGATGTCCTGCTCTGGACGTGAGTCAAGGCGCTGACATGGAAGAGATGCGTGGCTGCCAAAGCCACCCCATCCTCTGCAGAAGTTGGAGGATGTCTAGCAAGTGACCACAGCGAAACTCAGAGTAGCGCAGGTGTGGGGAAAGTGGCTGCTCTGACTCCTCCAGCTGCAAAGCCTCGTGCCACACTTTCCACAGAGTGAGTCTCATCTCATGCACCCTAGCTGCGTAGGAGTCAGTTGTCTGGTCTAAATGACTCACGCAGGCTCTCTGTCAGCACGCACAGACAGGCGTTGAACAGCATTGATCAGAACTGATCAGTAATTAGGGGCTGGGCTCAGGCCTGGACACTGAGGAAAAAAACCCCAAAATGCTGAGTATCTGCTCACTGAGTAAATGCGTGCGTGCAGGACACTGATGGAGCTAGAGAAGCTTAAGAAAGCAGATCTGCAATGAGGCAAATGGGGTCTGCAGG